ATATATATATATATATATATATATATATATATATATATATATATATATATATATATATATATATATATATATATATATATATATATATATATATATATATATATATTACTTTTAAAAATAAGACAAATTTTTTTATTTTATTTAAAAACATTTTATTATTCAATACATGTTTCGACTGTATATAGTCATCAGTTAAAATATATTTGTTAAAAATGGTATAAAATATCATATATAATATATTTAAAACATTTTTCTTTTGATTTTTAAAACATTTTTAAAACATTTTTTTTTGAGTGAAGATGTTTATAAATAAGAGAGATTTTACAATTTTATGGCTTTTATTATGTTTATTTTTACAATTATATATTATATTTTATACCGTTTTTAAGAAATATATTTTAACTAATGATATATATATATATATATATATATATATATATATATATATATATATATATATATATATATATATATATATATATATATATATATATATATATATATATATATATATATATATATATATATATATATATATATATATATATATATATATATATATATATATATATATATATATATATATATATATATATATATATATATATATATATATATATATATATATATATATATATATATATATATATATATATAGGGAGAGGGGGACCGCTGCCCAAATTATTTTCCTAGAAAAGGCCCCGATTAGTGATGTACCAAATAATCTGCCACTTTTTTTTATTTTTTAAGATGTATTTATAACCTTTAATTTAACAACTAAATGTACTTATATTTTTATTACCTTAATGTTGTTTTTAGAATGATTTTATTTTGTGTTGTTCTATTGTTATACTTAAAAGTAACCTATTTAAGCATTGTTATATATGTGTTCAAGTATAGCCTTCTATAATTCTATATGATTGTTGTTTAGATATCTAATTACTAATAAAAAAGAACTCTAAATAAACTGCTTTTCTTGATACCATTTTCTTTTTTTGAAAGTTTTTTTTTCATAGAAAAAAAAACTTAAAAATGTGTATTTTTTTAACTGAATTTTTCTAATATCTTTTAAAATAATGGTTTGGCTATGATTTGTGTCCAAGTATTTGTTTAGCAATATTAGTTTCATGAAAAATTTACATGATTTAAAGGTTTTGGTTTTAAAAATTTAATAATTATTAGTTCATTGGTATCGGTAAAAAACAAACTTTAATGAAAATAAAAAAGCATCAGGAAAAATAAAGTGGATATTCAAATATTATTAAAAACTTTACAAATACACTTTAACAACTTTATATAAACGTTCTTTATAATAAGTTTAGCATTATGAAAAACTACTAATAGTCCGTAAAAACGCGCTTTAATTTTAAAATCAAGCAATGCAAACTTTTTATTGGTTGATTTTAAAATTAATGCGCATTTTTACAGACCATTAGTAATATTTTTTATAATGCTAAACTTTTTATACAGTACTTTTTTATAAACTTTTTATTCAGTACGTTTTTATAAAGTTGTTTAAGTTCCTTAATAAGTTTTTAATATTATTTGAATATCCACTCTATTTTTTTAAATACTTTTTAAAAAAATAGATTAAATACTTTAATTAAAATTTGGGATTACTTATGTTGTTTGAACAAAAAATGGATTATAAAAGTTAAAAGAGCATTATTACTTTTTTTATATTTTTTATTACTTTTATAATGCATTTAGTTACTAGAGTGTTATTACTTTTGTAGTCTTAAGTTTACTATTTTATTTTTTGTAACTTTTTCGTTAGCAAATTTAAGTTGATTCGCCCCTTGAAAACAAAGAACACGGTTTTGCATACAATGATCTTACCATAAATACATATAATTTCTATCTCTTTTTGGAAAATGTAAATAGAAGGAATTAAATAATTATCCAATCTATCTAAATATCTTTGAAAGTCAACCCTTCCATCAAATAGTTTGAGGCAACTGACACCTTCATAGTTCATGCAGGCCAAGATGCCTATACTGCCACCACCTTGTTTTGTTCTATACATTGAACAATCTGGGTTCTTTTTTTGATTTTGTGTTCCTCTCAACATTACTTGATTTTTCCTTGAATCAACCTCAGCGTTCATTTCATGGCTGGAAAGAACATTGTGTCTCGTGCTCTTAGACCAAATTTTATGAGCTAAACACCAATTATTAATTCATGAAACAACGTCAGCGTTTACACAAAGCTGGATTTAGCAACCAAAGTAACATCTTGGCTAATATCATTGCCTAACTTATTGCCACCCGGAAAGCATCTTACTACAGAAATTAATATACGTATTCCACTAATAAGAGTAGTATGTGGTCACATGCATATTGGCTATTAACACCAATTCTCAGCTCAGCCTCAGATACGGGTTTTTGTACAAAACTAAATATTTAATTCTCAGATGTAGTTTGGCAAGGCATTATTAAAATATATTTATCAACTTATATCAAATCATTTTTCTCAATATCATAACTGTCTAAATACATTAAATTGAGACCAATCAGCCATGATTGCATATCTGGCAAATTACTTTATCTTTTTGCAAATGAAATAAATAAATGTTCAATTATTTGCATAGTGAAAAAAAAATTAAGATCATCTACTGATCTCAGTCAAAAATGGCAATAAGCTTCTAGTGTTGTTGCCAGTGCTCAAACAACAGTGCTCAAAAACCCACGTTTATGATAAAAAAGCATCAGAAAGCAAAAAAAAAACAGGTGTTTAGCTCATAAAATTTGGTCTAAGAGCACATGAAAAAATGTTCTTTTCAGCCATGAAATAAACACTGAGGTTGTTTTAAGGAAAAATCAAGTAATGCTGAGAAAAACGCCACATCAAAAAAAGAACCTAGATTGTTCTATATATAGAACACAGCAAGGTAGTGGCAATAAAGACATCTGGGCCTGCATGAACTATGAAGGTGTCTGTTGCCTTAAACTATTTGATGGAAGGGTCGACTGCATAGAGAATTTATGGTCTTGGTTAGAGCACAATCTTGGTAAAATTGAAATAAAAATCTGGACCAGCTGAAAGAAGTAACAAAATTACTGAGTAATGTTCCAAAAGATATTACTCAGAATTTAGTGAAATCCATAACGAAAACGGATCAATAAATGCTTAAAAGCTTAAGGATTGTCAACAAAGTTTTTTTTTTTTTTTCCTTTTTGTTTTGTAAAAAAAATAAAAAATTTATTACAGTTTGTTAATTTTGTTGTTGTGCTTTGTTTATTTTGGCCACTTTTTTTTGTTGATGCATATGAACACTTGTTTTTTTCAATATTTTAGTTTTTAATTCTTTTTATTATTATTATTTTATAATAATAATTGAAAAATTATTAAATTTAATATTATTATAAAATAATATTAATTTATATTTTTCATTATATATATATATATATATATATATATATATATATATATATATATATATATATATATATATATATATATATATATATATATTTATATATATATTTATATATTTATATAATAAAAAATATAATTTTCATAATATAGTTATTACCTAATTCCACTTTAAAATTTTAATTCCATTTAAAATATTTATCATTGGTTAAATATTTTATATTTCAATTTAGACCTCCATGATGAGCTGCAGCTTGATTGCATACATATTATTGTGTACATTATTTTATGCAAAGTTTGCCAAAACATGCCAGAGAAGGTTACAAAACTAAAATACTAAATGCCTCAGTCTACAAATGTTTGTAATTCTTCTATTTTTAGTTGCTACTAGCAATCTGCTTTTAAATATTGTTTATTTAAATTAAGTATTTGCTTATAGATTGTTTTAGCATAACCATTTATATGGAAATTTAAAAAAAAAATTTCATGTCTCATTCTGTTTAAATGTTATTCTACAAGTTCTTTTGATCATAAATTGCGTGAATAATTTTTCTGGAGAAAAATATGTTCATAATATTTTGATTACGTAATTCCACTTTAAAATGTTAAGTTTATTATTATTATTTAATTATTATAATTTTTTAATTTTAGTTTTATTTAAAATATTTATTATTGATTGAAAGAAAAGTTTTAATTTCTTAATCTAGACCTCCGTGATAAGCTGCAGCTTGACTGTCTACATATAATTGTGAATTTAAATTTTATTTAAACTTTAGTTTACTTGAATATATAATTTCTTCTAATTTGAGTTGCTACTAGCAATCTGTTTTAAAATATTGTTTATCTAAATAAAGTTTTTGCTTATAGATTGTATTAACATTATCATGTAAATGGAAATTAAAAAAAAAAGACTCTTTCTCATTGTCTCATTCTGTTTAAATGTTAATTTACAAGTTCTTGTGATCATAAAATATCTAAATATACTGTAACAGTTTATGATGAAAAAAAAGCTAATATCCTAATTAAGTAACTTGTGTATTAGGAGAACTTACCACTACTCCAGCAAGAATTATTAAACTGTGCTCATCTTTCCAAAAGGTCACCACATCAATATATGACACCTGTTGCAGATATGGATCGTGAACAAGAACGAATCAAAACGGAAGTAGAAGACTTTGGTTTCGAAAGACCCCTTGGTGAAAAACGAAAAAATGAAATTGAACTCAGGTGAGTTTAATGTACTTAATTATATTTTTGCTTATCTTCATTATATCTTGGAAAATTAAAAAAAATATATTATCATAACTATTAGCTATTTCCAGGATCTTGCATTCCAGGTAACCAAAGCAACCTTTCAAAAAAGTTCAAAAGTTTAGAAATTAGATTAAATTTATTTTAAATGACAGATCTTTTTGTATGTGTTCATCTATTTACTCATACTGACACACACAAATACAAGCTCAAATGTTTTTTTTTTTATAAAATACATTTTTTTGTATAAAAAGTGGTATTTATGCATGAAAGAATCCTGTTATAGTAAAAATATTTATTAAATTTTTAATTTTTTTTCTATGAAAACAACAACACACATTTAAAACTAAAAATTTGATTCTTACTGTTGACAGGATATTGTTCCATAGCAAAAATAGACAAAGCGTTATAGTAGAAAAGAAATTTTTAAACTTCCATCCTTTAATCTATCAATTTCAAAAAATATATATATATCAAAATTATTTTTGATATTTATGACTCTAATTTGAAAAAATTATAAATAAGAACCAATTAAACTATTGTAAATAAAATTGCGCATGTAGTAGTATAGACCGGGGCTAGTTGGCAGCAAGGGTAAGCTGAAGAATTTTCATTGCTTTTGTTTTCAATATTAGATCAAAAAGTGCAAGAAATTAGATAAAACTTTCCTAATTCACAATTTCTTTTTTTACTGTAGTATTGTAAGGATTTGTACAACTTATCGAACATCACTTTCTTTATACTTTTTTAAGAAAAAGGTTGTATGAAAGTTTTTTTTTTTCAATAGTTGCCATTTTGTTATAGTCTTTAGGCCGTTTATTGAAAAAAAGATTTTTGCAGTAAGTTGCAAAGTTTCTATAATATTGAGAAAGTTTATTTTTTAAAAAAATTTAAAAATAAAAATCGCAGCGCAATTTTTTACCTAGAAAAAAAGTGGACTTATTGATTGAACTATTATTATTATTTGCTATCAGCTTAAAGTTATATTATATTTTCTTTGCTTAAATTTGTTGCCAAAATAAATAGTAAAAAAGTTTCTATCAATTTGGCATTAATAATACATTAATAATCATTTTTGTAGTTTTTGCCAACTTACTCTGGGGTGGGGTATATTAAATAGAACATTATTAAAGTTACATATTAAAAAGTAAAAAAAGTTTACAATGACTTAAATTTAAAATAAATAAAATAGTTCTGAAACTGAATAACCTCGTTATTTAAAATAGTGATGCAAATGTTTTAGTTTTTTAATGATAAGATTAGTTACTTTTAAAAAATCTGTTTTAAATTATGTGAATCAACCAAAAGGTTTTGTGAATCAACCAAAATTTGACTTCTCTTTTATTTTTAATGATATTTAAAATCTTGGTAGTTGTAACTTCAAATTTTTTAACATCATCGTTATAGACTAAAAGAAAACGGACACCATTCAGATTCTTTGGGATCTTCACCAGTTAAAAAGAAATACCATGGTTTGTGTTTTTGTGTTTATATATATATATATATATATATATATATATATATATATATATATATATATATATATATATATATATATATATATATATATATATATATATATATATATATATATATATATATATATATATATTTCTTTGTTTTAATTTATTAATAATCAATATTTATAATTTACAAATGAAGAGTTTAAAATAAGGTATACGCAATTTTATTTTTTGATTCAAATTAGCACGTAAAAACATAATTGCTCATACCGCATTTTCGACAATAAATCTCTTTATATTTTGAATTTTATTAAATATTTTTAAACCTAAAGGAGTTGGGTTCGATTCAGAAGGAAGCGTCTTTGTTGATCAATTGATGGAAAACATTAAAAATGATTCTGATGAATGGAGAAACGTAGAAACGGTAAAGTTTTGTTTCTCAATAAAAAATACGTTTTTTTTTACTGTAAAACACGATTTAAAAATTTTAACATTTTTGTTTTACAGATGTTACAATATATTGTCAGTTTTGTAGAAAAAGCGAAGCGTTCAATCACTATTCTTCAGGAACGATGTTTAAGGGACCGCGAAGAAATGGCTTCATGGGCTCGTGCAATGGCTGCTGATGCTGAAAACGAAATTAAAAGACGAACAGGTTGATCACTATTAAAATGAATTAATCTATGTTTGTAAGTTAAAAGTTAGAATGTTGTCACCATAATTCACTAATTTTCATAGCATGGCATTGAAAATTATAATTATTTATTAATTATTTATGAAATTTATTTATATTTATTAAATATATTAATAATTTTTATTTTTTATTGAATCAAGTTTATTTTCATTTTCACATTTAGAAGCAGCAATTGACCAAAGCAGTCGCAATACTGAAGAAAGAGTAAACGAATTAAAACGATGCGCTGAAGAAGCTGTTAATGATGTTAAGCGGCAGGCTGTTGTTGAGTTACAAAAAGCTGTAACCGCTGCAGAAGAGAAAGCTAACGACGCTCTTAACCAAGCGCATCAGCGTCGTGAAAAGGCTATCATGGATGCTCGTAGGCAGGCTGCTGAGGATGCTCTTTTAATTGCCAACCTGCAGGAAAATTCTAAAGAAGTTAGTTGTCATAAGTTAAAAATCTTTATATTTTTTGCAATAAAATGTTTCCATTTTTTTTTTTTTTTTGTATTTAGAATTGCTGGAATTGCGGAAGAAAAGCAAATGAGACATGTAGTGGTTGTAGCGTGGCTAGATATTGTGGATCATTTTGTCAGCATAAAGATTGGGAACATCACCACAAAGAGTGTGGAAAGCATGCTAAAGATACTATTTTAAAACCAAAATCTCCACGCAGTTTAGCCGACAAAATTGAATCTGGTAAACCCACTCAAGAAAAGAAATGTAGTCCTCGTCCTGTAGCTCCTTCAATCAACCCTGAGAGTCTAAATACTAGCAAATGTGATTCAACAACATTAATAAGTGCTCCTCAACAATAGAATTTTGTAGACCATATAACTAAAATTTCCCCCTCCTAATGTCTCACTTTAAAGTCACTTTGTATATAGTCATTGTAAATATGTCATACTGTTTGTATATTCCTTCCATATGTGCTTCATTAAGTTAACAGAACATTTTTGATATCAATATTTTGAGATAAAAGTTTAGTCGTGACGTTGTAGCATGCGCCGTGCATTTTGTCTTCATATGGTTGTTCGAATCATTATGAAATTACTCGAAAAACTATTTAAAGAGTTTTTTTTTTGACACTTTTGCATTATTCATATATTAGTTATCATATTGTAGATAAATTCTGCGATAATTATTCAGATAAATCCCTTACGTAGATACGATTATATTTAATAAGTTTAGCCCATATTGAGATTTTGTATGTTTAAACAAATCTCAGCGCAAATCTAATATTTAACTTAAAGTAACGCTACTTAAGTAGCTAGTGATAATAATATCTAATAAGAAATAAAAGATTGCATTGTTGGATTGTGTTGAAAAAATTATTGCAAAAATTTTATCATTCAACGTATTCAATAAATAAATAAAATTAAATTGGTTAACAAACACTCAAGATAAAAAAATAAAAAGCTTTATTCGTTTATATGTATCAGCTTAATTTAAAAGCGCATCTTGCAAATAGTTTGAACATGTTGATAATAAACAAAAAAAGTAATTCACTGTAAAACTTCAAAAAATTTGGTAATCTGAACGTACATTTACTAAGTATCCAACAAAAAAATTTTAGGTCATTTTTCACAAATCTTCACAATTCAATTTATATATATATATATTTATTTATTTATTTATACATATATATATATTTATACTTATATATATATTTATATATTTTCAAGATATATTGTACCTCCCTCCTTTCATATCACCACAAAATAATAAAAAGGTTAAAATTGCAAGCTTACGTCACAAGGTTGACCGAGGCTTTTATAATCGTATTATGTTTTTGGAACTCTTATATTTGATTTATGTAATCTTCCAATTTAGTTAGTGGTTGGAATTAGCCTAATTGAAACCTAGTTAAAGTCTAATTAAAATTGATATCTAATTTACAATTAATTTGTATATATATATATATATATATATATATATATATATATATATATATATATATATACATATATATATATATATATATATATATATATATATATATATATATATATATATATATATATATATACATATATATATATATATATATATATATATATATATATATATATATATACATATATATATATATATATATATATATATATATATATATATATATATATATATATATATATATATATATATATATATATAGATATACATATACATATATATATATATATATATATATATATATATATATATATATACATATACATATATATATATATATATATATATACAAATTAATTTTGAATTAGGTTTTAACAAGGTTTTAATTAGGCTAATTTCAACCACTAATTAAGTTGGAAGATTACATAAATCAAATATAGGAGTTCCAAAAACATAATACGATTGATAAAAGCCTCGGTCAAACTTGGGACGTAAGCTTGCAGTTTTTACTTTTTTTATAATATTTTTTTGTGGTGATATGAAAAGAGGGAAGTGGGGTGTTGGGTGTGGTGTAGGAAATGCAATATCACCCTCTTTCCTCCCCAAAGAAGGTAATTTTCAAGATATAGTCGGTTTTTTTACGAAGTTTAAAGGATTTCATTTTTTTAGTTTTAAGGATTTTCTTTTTTTTATTTATTTTAAGAAACCAGTCAGTACTTTTGATAGATTCACCCTTCCCTTCCCCCCCCCCCCCCCCTATTTCATTCGTAGAATTGCCTCTAGTTATTAAATGTCATTTAAAAGGTAATCAAACTTTTTTCAATGACAATAAAAATAATTTTAATAACTCTGATAAAATTTTGAAAATCAGCCTTTTTATAAAATGTAACAAAAACATCAAAAGTCAACTTTGATGAAGCCGGAAAAAAAAAAAAAAACTATTCAAAAACTCCATTTTGCAAAAAGTTAAAGCTCAATATGTCCTTAATAAATGGAAAAAAATTGGCCAAAACATTGGCTTTTTGATCGCCGAAATTTATTTACCCCCTTTTTAACGCTACCTATTGGTAATCATTTTGGACCCCCCTCATAAAACATTTCCCCTCCATAGTTAAGTTCTATCAAGCTGCGATTCCATGGAGGGGTAAGCAATCAATTTGGAACCTATTTGAAATATTTATTGATTGAATTTGTTAGTTAAATTTAGATATAAAACTTGAGAAGAACAATCTCCATCGAACCCAGTAACTGTATTTATAACAAGGATTACGGCAACCTCTACTTGCCGAGTACCAGCTGTTCGAGTAATAAGAACTTGTATTCCACCACCAGTATTATTAAGCTTTAGACCTAATCCACTTTAGTGTTAATCAGAACAGCTTCTGAAATCAAGTGCCAAAATCTGTCAGGTACCCAAATAAAAGCCATTAGGTGTTACAGCTTAAAAACCATCTTATTTATTTAACATATTGGTTTCGGTATTAACATTGCGAGCTGATCCATTGAAATATCGGTAAGGTTCTTCTACAAGATAATAAAGTTGTATTCCATTTGAATAAAGTCTATTAGGCTGCCCATTAATTAAAAAATCAATTCTGGTAATATTCATTGCGTTTAACTTTCCTGGTTGTCTTGCAAAAGTTGATTAGGGAGCATAAACTAAAACGTATTTCAACAAGTTGCATGCAATAATCACATCAAAGAACCATGAAATTTGAGTCGAATCTCTCTGTACACGTTGATGACAAACAATTGCTCAAAGTAAAAGACCAAAACGTGATAGACTATTGTAAGTAATATCTTTTGCGAGTTGCTTGTTTTTAACAACTTTAGAGCTAAATTGCAGAGCTAAATTATTTAAAGCATAGTGAAAGTAGCTGAGGTATCAGTTAAAATAACGATTTGACTTCGGTTTGTTGTTTATCTAAAAACAATGAAGGGTGAAATGGTCCTCGACAATTAAACATTTTAAAATCAAAGGGCGTGAAATACTTTGAACCGACAGGGGCTGGACCACTTCCAAATGCAAGGGATTTTGTCGCATTAGTTCCAGTTGTTGAACCAGTACTAGATCCAATTCTCAAGAGTCAAATTGCCTGGGTCAGCTTGATCATCAATACCTTGCATTATGTGGTCTGGAAGAGCTCGTACTGATAAGGGTAAGAACAAATCTCAAAGACTTCAACAATCACCATAGTTAAAGTATTTTGAATTTCTTGACCTTGCATTCTTATTGTAAAATAATTAATAATGCTTCGACCTAGATTTGCTAAAAGTCTTGCTATAAGGTTTGCACCTCTAGCGAGAACAACATTGTAAAGCAAATGAATTGACACTGGTACAACTATTATGGACGGAGACAAAGTTGAAAAACAAATTAAAAACGTCTGACCTGATGAATTTGCTAGAGTTGCTGGATTTAAACTGACGATGATGATTAGTCTTTCACTTCGGACACCAAACGCCGTAGTATTATGCCGCCGATGATTATGATTACGCTGATTACGCTGATCACGCTGATTACGTATGATTACGCTGCTCCCTCATGAAACTGCAGAAACATCATTTATTAACATTGATCAAAGCAAAGATTTTCCAGAAGTGGAAATAGGACTTCCTAAAATTCCATACTCAGTGTAGTTAAGGCACTTTTAAAATATTGTAGCGTCTGTATGATATTTTGTTGGCTACGACATATTGTTGGCTACGAAAAGATGAAAAATATTAAAATGATACATTTTGCGGTACCATAAAATATAAATGTATGTAGCGAAAAAACCCAGACCAAAGATTCTTTTTTTTTTTTTAAATCATCTTAAAATGACAACCACTTGTCCAAATTTGAATAAGATTTTATATTAATACGTTTTTTAGGTGGTATGAACATTATAGTTTAACAATATAATCTGCTCTGATCGTTTATTAGCAATTTTCCATTACTATAAGCTCTTTCTTAGTCGGAATTCTATTTTTTGTGAAAACTGATAGAAGTATTGTGTTTTGACAACTATATATAGTTAACATACGTCAGAACAGATTAGAACTAGGATCAGTAGTAAATTAAGGAACTTTTTCAAAAGATTTTAACTAAAAACAATGTTAATGCTGATGAGTGGAATTGATCTAAAGACTCCAAAATAGCGTTCTTTAGATTCACTATTATGTATAGTAAAACGGTTTTGAAAATTATATATAAAAAAAAAGTTTCTTTAAATATTATAAAAACCTTAGGCAAAAAAAAAATTATAACATTTAAAGATCTTGTTTCGACATAATATGGTAACAAAACCACGCTAATTCCAAATAAAAGTACTCGAATATTTTGTAAATCGCCTTAACTACACCGAGTATAAACCTGGAAAAATTTCATTTCTTTGATTAGAATTAGATAATTTAGAAAAGGCTAACACCTTTAAAAAAGAAAGTATTACAGTTCAAAGTGATGATCTAGAAACAAAGAATCATTATTAAAAAATAAGAATTATTATTAAAAACAACTAATGTTTTTTATAAAAGACTTGAAATTATTGGGAAAGAAAAAGATTTTAAAATAGATTGAAAAAGGATTAGGGGCAAACTAAACTATTTTGTCGACGATCTCATCTTTGAAGGTGTAGCGCCGACGACAAATAAACCTTAAAGAATTCAGTTCTATAAAAAAAACTATGGAATAAAATTCAAAGCTTTGAGTGATAGTAATATAAAGCATGCTTAGAGATTAGGGGATAGTAGATTTTTTAAAAAACCCAAAGATAAAAATTGATAATAGTCAACTTGAGGAGATAAAAAAAGAATTTAATATTTTTAAAATAAGGTTGCAGACTTGGATATATCATTTTGACAAGAGGCGTTTTGTTCAAGATGGGAAAAAGGAAAGTCAAACTCTTCGGAACCCACGTCGTCGGCCCTGTATATGTTAGTTTTTGTATATATTTTGTAAATGTCTGTTAATATATTAAGTATAACAATCCATCTAATTATATATATTTGTGTGTATCAAACACAGCTCTTTTCTATTTTTGATCATCTAATAGCTTTTTATATGGTTCTAATGCCAGCATGAGATTTCGCTAAACTGAATTTTTTAATAAATTAAGTATAAAATTTATTGTATACTTATTTTATTAAGGTATACAATTAAATTCACTTAAAATGCCACTACAACATCGACCATAAGTGATAGTCCAATAAAGCCAGAATTCGGTATAATTCTAATTACGTTTTTACATAAAAGGTAGAGTTAGGCAGAGTTCAATTAGATGGTAAATATC